TCATTAATAACTCCATCAAATACAAAGCCATCAAATATTTTTTAAGTAAACACTGGTTTAAAAGGGACAATTTAAATTTGTTTTATTTGTATTTCCATGTTAATCTCTGTGAAGCTGCTTTGGCTCAATCTGCTTTGTATAAAGTGTTACAGAAACTAAGGTGACTTGACTATCTGCCTCAAACTTTCTAACAGGTGCACCTCTAATAATGATTTATCAAGTATACAAACCAAAAACCACATGATCAATAGGTGTCATTCATCATGGACTAACCCATAGCACAGGAACAAGGACAGAGGAGCTGCTCCGGTTCCTAACAGGCCCCTCCAGGAGCCGCAGCCGAGGGCCACAGCCAGCAGCAGGAGCTCGCCCGCAAACACAGTCAGACCGGACATCATCGTCGCCAGCAGCCGCAGCGACGGGTCACACAGTTCCACACCTACAGACAAACAGCTTTAAAAGTCATAACAGAATGCATTTGAGTGTTTCCTATTCTGGTTAAGGACAGTGATATGTGACCCTGGAGCACAAAACCAGTCATAAGGGTCAATGTTTCAAAATTGAGATTTATGCATCATCTGAAAGCTGAATCTGAGGGTGCAAAAAAATCGAAATATTGAGAAAATCATCTTTAAAGTTGTCCAAATTAAGTTCTTAGCAATGCATATTACTAATCAAAAATGAAGTTTTGATATATTTACAGTAGGAAATTTACAAAATATCTTGATGGAACATGATCTTTACTTAATATCCTAATGATTTTTGGCATAAAAGAAAAATGTATAATTCTGACCCATACAATGTATTGTTGGCTATTGCTACAAATATACCCCAGTGACTTAACACTGCTTTTGTGCTCCAGGGTCACATTTGTGTAATTCTATAGTTCTAGATACACTGTCAAAGGATTCTGTGGATGCTTAAAATATCAACTACACTACAATATGTGAAGTTCTTCCTCAGTATTTTTGGGCTGTTTTCCAGTACAATTATCTCAACATTTTTAAATCAAGGTACATTAACTTAAGAAGTCATTTTGAAAAAAGTTATCAAAATTAAGGCAAGACACCCAGATGTATAGGGTAAAAAAATGTAACTAATATACTTACATTATTGATTGCATGATTACATTAAGAAATGCAAAAATGTTCTGAAACGTTTAAATATGCAAATGAACGATTATATAAAGCAAATACACTATTTTGCATAGATTTTAAAGTCAGTTTCATAATTTTTCTTTGATTTTTTTTACATTAGAGCTAAAGGTTTTACAGAGAGGATTTTGGATTTCTTTTTTGTATCACTCCATAAATCACAAAATACTGTCAGCAGACAGAAAAAACAATTTTTTCAAGGTTTTAGGAATAAAATGTAAAGGTCAGGCAGATGAACAAACCCGCTATAAAAACCTAATAAAATATAGAATACAGATAGAAATAAAACTGTAAAGTTTGGTGTATGGTGTAAGTGAGCTGAACTCATACGTCATCCGCCCGGAGCTGCTTCCGTGTACAACAGTGAGCGCAAGCTACATTAAAGTGATTATTACGTTTTGAATATGGATATTTTTCTTACAAAAACGCATCAATTTGCTACAGAAGGCCTTTGTTCACCCCCCGGAGCCGTGTGAGACACTTCTTTTACGGATGAGCGCTTTTTATTTAACTTCTTTTGGACTGATGCATGCAACACCCGCTGAGTGCCATGAAACAGCTTGAAAGATCAAAGACCATTTTTAATATAACTCCGACTGGATTCATCTGAAAGAAGAAAGTCATATACACCTAGGATGACTTGAGGGTGAGTAATTTATGGGCTAATTTTCATTTTTGGGTGAACTAACCCTTTAAAGTGAGAAAAGCAATTGCCAATGAGGTAGAAAAATAACCTTGTTTCTTTTGAATTAAGTAAATTTTTCTTAATCCGTTGGCATATTTTATTTTATTATTAATATTATTTTAAGCATGAAGTCACTACATAAGGATACTTTTTTTCAGAAAATAAGACTTTGCATCTCAAGTAAATGTATTGGTAACACTTTATTTTGATGGTCCCTTTTAAACATTCTGTTGACAATAAGTAACGCTGCATCTACATGTCAACTAACTCTTATTAGAGTATTAGTAGACTGTCTGCTCAATATCTGATAACTCTTTATTGTGATGGTCTCCCAACAGACATTCTACTGACTATAAGTAACTTTGCAAGAACATGTCAACTTGTTCTAACCCTAACCCTACCAGTCTACTAATACTCTAACATTCTAATAAGAAATAGTAGATGTGTAAGTGCAACGTTACAATATGTGACCCTGGAGCACAAAACCAGTCTTAAGTCGCTGGGGTATACAGTATATCTGTACACAAGTGTGCAGTTTAAACATTTACAAATTTTGAATTCTATGTATAAATATGTGACCCTGGAGCTCAAAAGCAGTCTTAAGTCGCTGGGGTATATTTGTAGCAATAGCCAACAATACATTGTATGGGTCAAAATTATCGATCTTTCTTTTGTGCCAAAAATCATTAGGATATTAAGTAAAGGTCATGTTCCATGAAATTATTTCGTAAATTTCCTACCATAAATATATCAAAACTTAATTTTTGATTAGTAATATGCATTGCTAAGAACTTAATTTGGACAACTTTAAAGATGATTTTCTCAATATTTAGATTTTTTTGCACCCTCAGATTCCAGATTTTCAAATAGTTGCATCTCGGCCAAATATTGTCCTATCCTAACAAACATACATCAATGGAATTGACTGAATTATTTATTCAGCTTTCAGATGATGTACAAATCTCAATTTTGAAAAATTGACACTTGAGACTGGTTTTGTGGTCCAGGGTCACAAATATCTGATCTTGCAAGATGTGCTCCCTTTACACAGAGTGCGTGTGATCGGGAAATCGAAAGTGAAAGTAAACGGCACAAATGCTCATTCAAAAGGGATTTAAATACTGAGAGCGGCTCCCTGATGCGGCAAAATTATACACAATATTAGAATGTTTAAAGGAGTGAACACGAAAATCGCGGGAGCGAAACACATATTGCGGGAGCAGGCGGCAATAGTCAGAAATTCAGTGGGAGCGGCATAAAGAAAACAGACGAATCCCGGACATTTTAAGCGATTAAGAAATCCCGGCCGGATACATTTTTTTAGGTCCAAAAAGAGGACATGTCCGGGGAAAAGAGGACGTATGGTCATCCTATGTCAACTTGTTCTAACCCTACCAGTCTACTAATACTCTACTAACACTCCAATAAGAAATAGTAGATATGTATGTGCAATGTTACTTATAGTCAACAGAATGTGTTAAAGCGACCATCAAAAAAGTGAAACGAATGCATCTTGATTTAAGAATGTTTAGATATTTGTACTGTAAACAAAACAAAAATGCTGAGTAAAATAATTTCTTGCAGCGTAACATCACGACAAACAAGCTCTGATGTTTATGACTTGTGTTTGACTTACGTGTGACGTACAGCGTGAGGAAGACGCCGGCGCTCGCCGCGGCCAGACAGAAGCGCATGGTGATGAAGACAGGCGGTGAGGGCGACACACACACCAGCACCCCAAACACCACCGCCAGCATCAGAGACACCAGCAGAGACTTCTGCCTGCCCAGTCTGAACACACACAACAAACCAATAAACAACGGAACGACGGAACAAACAACAAACCCAAGAGACGGTTTTTCACCGGTCAGCCGTGTAGCCCAAACCCAGACAGCCTGTCAGCGTCCCCAGAATGAAGCACACCTCCTCGACTGGAACCAGCCAGTACCGCGAACACACCAGATCCCACTGGGGACAACAGGAAGTCAGGACACAACAGACAGGAAATCAGTTGTTGTTTGGTAGCAGTGGCATGCAAACACAATTGGTGATTTTAAAAGACTTCCTGTTCATGAGAAAGAACGCTGTGAACTCTGAAGACTCGTGAGTTCGTGTTTTCTTCCATGCAAACAAGTTATATGTCAGAACTTTGATATCTGGCATTGTTACTGTTAACTAAAACTGAAACTATTAAAATGTTGAAATAAATCTGAAATAAAATATAAATCTTAATCTTAAACAAAAACTATAAACGTAAGCTAAATGAAGACAGTTGAAGTATTAAAATGGCTAAAACTGAAATAATAAAAATAAAAACTATTAAAAATATTAATATTTGATTTGTACAAAGAAGTCCGAAGCACATTGCAAAATTGCTAAAACTTAAATTCTAAATGTTTTAATGTCAAACTTTATATACAAATATATAAACTAAAATATAAATACTACATTAGAAACTTTGCTTTGGCAACTAAATGAAATAAGTTTACATTTAAGCACTAAAATTACTAAATCTAAAACTTAAATAAATATCAAAGCTATAGCTATATAGAAATATACAAGTTAATTCAAAACTTTAAAACTGAAATCAATCTAAAACTAAATGAAATATAAATATTAGTTTAAACACTTAGAAATGTTGCTTTCGCAGCTAAATGAAATAAATTAGTTTAAGTACTAAAAATACTAAAACTGAAATAACTATACACAGACAGATATATAGAAATACATAGAGCCTATATAGAAATATATATTTAAAAACTACTAAAAATGACAAGAGCACATAAAGAACTAGATAAAAAAAAGTTCGTCAAGACAGTTTAAAACAGTTGGACAAGCTTAAATACTAAGACTTAATCTAAAATTAAAAACATAAATATAAGTTAATTTCAAATATTATAATTGCTATAATATTATATTTAAAAGATACTAAAATAACACTTGTAATATCACATCATTCTAAAATTCAATATGAATGAGTCAGATGTCATGTGACCAAACAGCTGCATCATGACACAAGCACACAGAACACAAAAGAGTTTGTCAGCTGAAATGTGACCAAACTAGTTAGTCTTCAGGATGGAGAACGTCAGCCCACACTAACCACAACAGCGTCAACTAACTAGACCCGTCCCAGTTTTGCATCTTTCATTCAATACAAATGTATGTCATTAATAATCAAGAACACATAAACATTGTGTCACAGTGAGGAATCTGATGAATGCAGAGCTTGACAGACATGAACACGTCATGTACATGTGTACAACAGATATGTTATTTACAAGTGTGCAGTTTACAAATGTACAAATTTTGAATACTACAATATATGTGTCCCTGGAGCACAAAAGCAGTCTTAAGTCGCTGGGGTATATTTGTAGCAATAGCCAACAATACATTGTATGGGTCAAAATTATCGTTTTCTTTTATGCCAAAAATCTTTAGGATATTAAGTAAAGATCATGTTCCATGATGATATTTTATACATTTCCTACTGTAAATATATCAAAACTTAATTTTTGATTAGTAATATGCATTGCTAAGAACTTCATATGAACAACTTTAAAGATGATTTTCTCAATATTCAGATTTTTTTGCACCCTCAGATTCCAGATTTTCAAATAGTTGTATCTCGGCCAAATATTGTCCTCCTAACAAACCATACATCAATGAAACCTTATTTATTCAGCTCTCAGAAGACGTATACATCTCAATTTCAAAAAAGTGACCCTTATGACTGGTTTTGTGGTCCAGGGTCACATATAAATATGTCAGTTATGATGGACAATGTATAGTTATGGAAGTTTGAATTGCTCAGGCTGAAGATAGCCTCATATGCTTTAACATTAAGATTTGTACTCATGGAAATTACTAAAGTAGTCAAACCTGTTCATTAGAAGGGACTGTCCCAATACTTATTATATAGTGTACATATTAGTTCAACAGTGTCGGCCCACCTCTGTGACGATATTATTGGTCAGGCCTTCGGTGACGTTGTAGTCGTATCCAGCATCACAGTCCTTCACACACGACTGCGTGCCGTTGACGAACATGTGCTTGCACTGGGGCAGATCTCCGTCTCTTTTCTCCGTCCTCACGGAGGCGTTGGTCACCTGAGGAGCGGGCGAGGGTCGCGGGAGACGACAGCAGAAGGGCGGGGACAGGGTCAGGAGCGGGTCGGAGGACAGCAGGAACGCCAGGAAGAGGTTGGGCAGAATGGAGAGAGCGATGAGGAGCCGCTGCTTCTTACGGCCCAGAGCCAGAATCATGACCTCTCCGGTGGGCGGCAGAGCGGGCTGCAGGGGGAGCGAGGACGGGGCGGGAGAGGAGAGCGTGGGGGAGGACGGGAGCGAGGGAGGGGGAGGAGGACACGGGGACGGGGAGGCCAGCGGGGACGGGGGTGACGTCATGGTTTGGACAGAAGCTGCGCCACAGAGACCAGAGCCTTACAGAGACGCTGCTGCTGCAGACGCAGGTGAAGAGAGAGAGAGAGAGAGAAAGATAGACGGCTGTCTGTGTCTCTCACTCTCTCTCTTCCTCTGCTCACCCTGAGACAGACGAGCAGAAATAACCTGCAGAAGACAAGCATACATCAAATCAGATAGATAGACAGACAGACAGACAGATAGATAGATAACAGACAGACAGACAGACAGATAGCAGATAGACAGACAGACAGACAGATAGATAGATAACAGACAGACAGACAGATAGATAGATAACAGACAGACAGACAGACAGATAGCAGATAGACAGACAGACAGACAGATAGATAGATAACAGACAGACAGACAGATAGATAGATAACAGACAGACAGACAGACAGA